CTACTTACTTCAAATTTATATATATATATATATACTCTACATAATACTCTACTGCTACTATGTTCTTATGCAAGAATTACTGGTGACATAACATGGACTGGTTACGCGTATAGACCATTTGTACCTTCATCTTACAGGACACGAAGTAGTTTTTGGAGACATTTTCCTAGACAAAATAATACGTCCCGTACACCGCTAAATACGGTACGATTCTACTGATCGCTATAGACACCCCAGAGAATTAATGGCTGGTCGATAGATATTAAGGGCTAGTTTTATTTTACAAATCATCAGATATGATGGCTAGTGAACATTTGAACTTAGTTTCACACCCTGCCAACGCCAGCCATTGCCCAGTCTCTTACCTAGGAAGTTGAAGGCGATGTCAAACCAGGGTATGAGTTTCTCCTTGTAGTTGTCGCTGACGGGAATGCGCAGGAAGTGTTCGTTGGGCACGCTGTCCGACTTGAGACAGTTGTTGGATACATTCAACACGTACGATATGTCATGGGCCTGTAAATAGCAAGAGATAGTGTGTGTGGGATAGAGAGAGAGAGAGAGAGAGACAGAATGCCAACTTAAAAACCAGGACAGTTTTTGAGTAAAAAGAAGTATCTCCACCCGCATAAGAGTAGCAGACAGCACGTACGATATGTCACGGACCTGCAAACACCGATGTAATTCAAACAGCATCAGTTAGTACGGTGGCAATATATACGCCTGTATCACAGCAGCACGTACAGCGACATCAAACACTTGTAACGACATGCGGATAATACAAGCTACGTCTCGTAATTTTTAAGAAAACGCCTGCTACATGCTACAGTCGCTCGTCATCTGGTCTCCATATCAACCCGGCGCCTCTTTTCCACTGCGGAGTTACTAACAGACGCGCCTATAAACAAACATAACATAAATATAAATATTACACGCACACACATACATACATACACACACGCACACACGCACACACGCACGCACGCACACACGCACGCACGCACGCACACACATATATATATATATATAATTATATACTGTAAAATAATATAATATAATGATATATAATATAATATATAATAATCTATATATAAATAATATATAGATTTTAACGCCCGGATGTTTTGTCATGATAGTGTGAGACGTGGACAGTCAAAATGTCAAAATACGCGTATTGCAGATGGCCGCCTTGCTGTAAACAACGCGTACAGTACGACAAGTAAATAAACACGAAGTACCCTAACAACAAGTTAGGCGTGCAGGGTGGAATCTGCATCGTTCTGCATAAAAAAAACTCAATAATCCAATAATTTATCGATGAAATAAAAGCAAGGCGCTTGGTTTTCCTGTCCAGACATCACAAGATGTTTTCCTCCACAAAATCAGCGTGAAAAATAGAGAAAACGCGATCACGGATACCCACAGCATTGTTCATCTATGTACATGCGGAATTGCTACGGCATCTCTACATTGCGGAAATTCATTTGGCTTTACATAGAGAGGAACTGAAAGGTAATTATACCTTTATACCTGCAGTGCTCCTACGTCAAGAACATTGATTTATTATCACATATAAAGGAAATGAAGGATGGTAGCCACACCTACATCCTCTCTACGTTGCGGGCATCTAAATATTTGGCTTCTCCTTTAGAGGAAGGTAAGGAGAGTAGGGGAAGCTTGCCTGCATCATTTCTACGTCGAGGGCGTCTACCTGTCTGCCCATGTAGAGTAACGGAAGTAGAGATAGCTAATTACCTGCATCATTTCTACATCGAGGGAGCCTTCCAGATTCCCCAGACAGAGGAAAGGGAGCAAAGATAGCTTACCGGCATCATTTCTACGTACATAAAGGGAGTCTTTCGGAATTCCCAGTTAGAGGAAAGAGAGAGAAGGAAAGTGGGGAAAGCTTACCTGCATCATTTCTACGTCGAGGGCATCTACCTGGCTTCCCAGGTAGAGGAAGGGGAGGATCTTGGTCGGAGCGCTGGCGCTCACCGACATGCACGGCTGCGAGTGTGACGTCAGGCTCACCAGCCGCTGATTCTTCATCTCGCACAGCTCCGGATGCGCTCCCTGGAACGCCAGGAATCCACCTGCCGGAGAGAGAGAGCAACACACGGTGACCGATTGTCGACACACACACACGCGCACGCACGCACACACGCACGCACGCACGCACACATCTACCGACTCGGGGAGGAGAAGTGAAGCCAACGATTCTTCCCCAAAGTTCCTCTTCAGATTCATCGCGAAATAAAAAAAACCACGACCGCAATGTAACTTTTGAAAATCAAAGGGGGGGGGGGTCGTCGTCAGGTACATCGTATAACAATATGATCGATACAGTTATGACATCGTCATGTCTAAAATGCGATTTTAACGTAATATAATTAAATGACTTTTAAAACGAGGTGTCGGTGCAGAGGTTAAGACGTTTAAGACTTATGACGATGTCCCAATGTTTTGACAGCAGCTCCCAGTTCTCCACGATCTCTGTCTTGGCGTCAACATATGACGAAGACGCACACCGACCAGTCTTGGAACCAAGTCCTGATTTCGATTTCAAAACTTTGATTTCTACTATATAACCTAAAGTAAAATCCATAGAAATTGGCCAGTCCTGCTATAAGTTACGAGTCCCGGACTGGAGGGGGGGGGCAGGCTGCTATTTTCAACACTGCGCTGACTAGTCATTCGTTGTTATTCTTACTCTGAAACGTACAAAATTACAAATTAAAATGAGTTAGAAACTAAAGTTGAATATCCCGGAATGAAGCAGCCGGCCCCCGATCCATCCCGACTAATGGAATCTCTATTTTTGCTCCATGCTAGTGCTAAGGTTGGTCCGCGTTAGAGATGTCGTTGTTCCGTGTTAGAGCTCGCTTTGCTCCGTAGTAAGGCTAGTTTTGTTCCATGCTCGAGCTAGCTTTGTTCCATGCTAGAGCTGCCTTTGTTACGTGCCAAAGCTACCTTTGTTCAATAATACAGTTATATTTGTAAAGTGATATATCAATCGTCGTTCCACGATACAGCTACCGTTGTTCTCTGCTACATCTACCGTTGTTCCTTACTACATCTACCGTTGTTCTCTACTACATCTACTGTTGTTCCTTACTAGGTAGTCGGCGCTACACGTTCGCAAAGTCGCGTTCTTTGTTTGAGTATACGTCTCACGCCACGGCTCTTATGATCACGAACTTAGCGACACAGCGCCGTATAGATTAGCATTGCTGGACACGAGAAATTCCACATTCACCTCTTCCCTATGCGGTATACTTGATTATCTGTCAGTCGATCACCGCCTACTACAGGTTCGCTAGGACCCGACGCACGATGGAGTGACTCACCAGACGACGGGAACCGAGTCCAGTCTCTCAGACACTGGGGTAGACCAGACCGGGGCCAGACGCCAAACCGTGTTGCCCAGAAACACCAACACACTACTCATTCCTACTCGACGTCCCACGCCAGGAAATGCAATGCGTACTTTGAACAGCACCATTCGCTTCGCCATTTGGTTTCCGATGGTATCCTCTGAGCGGGCACGCGTTCAAACTTCCCCCCGCCCCGCCTACGCAAACGTGAAAGGATTCATCTTATCATAATCAGTCAATTCAAAATTAATTTATGGTCTTCAAAGTCAAAATCAAGTCAATTCAGCCGTTATTGTCTATCTGCGACACTTTAGAATGGCTGTTTTGAAGCGGACCGAGGTTCCTTTACCTCCCGCGCCCTAGGAATCCATAACATTAACGCCGTATACGACTCTGCATTCTACGGCTTCTGCATAGCGACAGGTTGCATTCTGAGAACGTGCAGGCTTATAAACCAACGTAGGACGGTCGACACTTGACTGTTTAGGACCACACTTGCTGCGAGTTGCCTCGTTTTTTGAAACGTTCGCCATGATGAGCTCGGTTCCAGGATCTATCGCGCCGCTGTCGGGCCTCTGGGACGGACCATAGTAAACATGACGGATGCGGTGGTTATTCATGAGTTTATTATTGGAGATTACTTGAGAGAGAAATCAAGTGAGCTTTTATTAGAGAGATATAAGGGCACGTGGACATGTGTAGTTATTTGAAGACAGAGGAACAGGGTAGACAGTAGGAGTATGAATAGATAGAGTTTAGATATCGCCTAGTTATAGATATTATGGAAACCATGAATATTTGGGGATTAATAAATTAATATTAACCGAGATGAGAACTTGAAATAAAAAATTTGCTGTAAAATTAATAGGCTTTGGTAAACACACGGTCTGTCTTCTGTCTTAATAATTTTCTTTATAACTGAGTAAACATGAGTACAGCGACGGGGGGGGGGGGGGGTTCCTTGCGTTGCATATTCGACGTGTGATGCAGGTGCGTCGATGACTATCAATGAGGGAAGAAACCTCACGATGCGCCTGCACGGGCGCCGTATGGCGTTGTTGTTGTTGTTGTTGTTGTTGTTGTTGTTGTTGTTGTTGTTGTTGTTGTTGTTGTTCTTGTTGTTTTTGCTGCTGCCGCTGGCAGATTGCTAAACACATACGTAGTAGCGCTTCATATATGATTATATATTATTAGCACACGGATTGCTCAAAATGTGATAATAAAGTCGCCAGATTAGGAGCTTTTATCACAATCTGAACCGATCGACCTGGTGTATTTTTGGATGGGGATCTCATAAGAAACTTTACTAACGACGTGCTGAAATAACACTTGAGTGAGGTAGCCGGAGTCACGCCATCACGGAATTTAATTTCGCCCGATATGAACAGCGATCGGCGCGCCCTCGACTTTATAAAACAATGGCTGGACAAATATTTACCCGGCATTCGCGCGAACGCGTAACAGCGGGCATGGGGGCAGGTGGGCGGTAGCGAATGCAGAACTATTCGAAAAATCCGCAATATGAAACATTGTTCAGCTTGCGTGACGATGCAGCTCAACGGGTTGTCGGGATTTTAGTCAAGCAGACGAGAATTTCCCAATATAAACGCGCCTAGTTAGGCCCTACGTGGTAACGTGGGACGCGCGCATGGCGGCCGGTGCAACTACACTAGCGCCATCTATACGCGCACTTTGCAAAGATCTGCAAGCGTCAGGAAGAAGGAACAAGGAATTACACACACATACTCACACACACACACACGCACGCACGCACGCACACACACGCGCACACACGCACGAACGCACGCACGCACGCACGCGATCGGTGTCGCTTACGCGCAACCAGTTACAACGCGTTTAACCAGCGTTAGCGGATTTACTGACCACCTGTCATCATCACGCGGCGCCATTACCTGTCCGTCGCTTCGTCGCCGAGCCGAGCGTTAGACGCGCTCTCGCGTCGTCGGCGCCGACAGCCTCGCGGCGACCGTCGCCATGACGTCGCTGCCCGGGGCTGCACGGCCCGACGTTCTCATTGTCTCCCGTCATACAGCCGGGGGGAGGGAGACACCTACAGCGTCCACTCTCGCCTGCGAGCGCAATCCAGCGTGAAGTCAGAGCGTCGGCGCCGATGACAAGAGATGGATCTGATTCCCTGCCGACGACTTAACAACGGATTCCCTGCCGACGACTTAACAACGGATTCCCTGCCGACGACTTAACAACGGAAGCTCTACGCGCCACGTGTCGCTGGGCTGGATGTTGCGGAGGATGCTGTCCCCCTGCCCGTCGCCGCTCGCCTGCTTGTGTGCGTCTCTAGCAACCTGCATGAATTTTCTAGCAACTTCTGTGCGTCACAGGCAGCCTGCGTGCGTCTCTCGCAGGCCTGCGTGCGGCTGCCGTGTGTCTCTCTGGCGCTGGTGCGCCTCTGCGTGTGTCTCTCTGGAAAGCCTCGTGCGTGCCGCTGGCAGCGCTGAGCGTGCGTCTTGGGCAGCGCCTGCGTGCGTCCTGTGTGCGTCTCGTCTGGCAGGCTGCGTGCGTCTGCGTGTGGCGTTCTCCTCTAGCAGGCCTGCGTGCGTCCATGCGTGTGCGTCTCTCTAAGCAGGCCTGCGTGGCGTCTCTCTGGCAGGCCTGCGTGCCGTCCTGCCGTGCCGTCTCTTAACTAGCAGCGCCTGCGTGCGCTCTCTGGGAAAAAATAAAAAGACAGCCTGCCGTGCGGTCCTGCGTGCGTCCTCCTAGCAGCCTGCCGTGCGTCTGCTCTGGCAGCGCACGCGTGCGTCCTGCGGTGCGTCCTCTGGCAGCCTGCGTGCGTCTCTGGCCAAGACTACGTGCGTCTCTCTGGCAGCCAGCGTGCGTCCTGCGTGCGTCTCTCTGGCAGCCTGCGTGCGTCTCTGGCAGACTACGTGCGTCTCTCTGGCAGCCAGCGTGCGTCCTGCGTGCGTCTCTCAGAGAGACTCTCTCTGGCAGCCTACGTGCGTCTCTGGCAGCAGGCAGCGTGTGTCACTGACAGCAGCCTGCGCGCGACAGCATCGTTCGTTGACCGTTATTAATCATCGATGGCTTCATCATCGGTCCGACCGCTACGCGCAGCAGCGCAATAATCAATTACGTGGCAGCTATAGCGGTAGCGCGGCAAGCAGGGAGGAGTGGGAGGGGGAGGCCACGGGGAGGGGGAGGGGTATGGGAGAGTTTACACAATGTCAGTGTGTCATTCTATCAATCAGAGGTATCACTCCACCCCCTTCAATCTCTCTCTCGCTCTCGATCTCGCGCGCGCTCTCTCTCTCTCTCTCTCTCTCTCTCTCCTCTCTCTCTCTCTGCTCTCTCGTCTCTGCTCTCATCGCTTCCGCTAATCGCTCGCTCTTGCTCGCTCTTTGCTCGCTCTCGCTCTCGCTCTCCTCTCTCTCGATCTACTCTGCTCTCATCTCCTCTC